AGGTTTGGAGTTCGCCTGCTGCTGATTTGTTGTTGTTGCTATTGTCGTCTGTTGATTCCATGGTGAGGGTGTGGCGGTGGGGTCCTGGCTGATGCCTGTTGATGATATCATGGCTGTTGGGTTGCCTTCACTCCTCTGTCGCAGAATCTCCTGGAGTTTCTCTAGCTGCACACGTCTTTTGTGAGCAAGGGAGCGCAGGGAGAGGAAGCGATCGAGGAAGGAGTCCAGTTGCAGAGAACCCTCTAGAAACTCATCAGCTAAAGCCTGCAGACAGTGACACACAGTGATGCTTTACTGCTAAGTGTATCATACTACTGCAAACACCAAACTCCAAACAAATCTCTCCAATGACAAACTTCTCAGATCAGCTACTGATTGATTAATTGCAGGACCCAGTTATGCTGCCCAGTGCCATCAGCTGAGCTCCTCTCACACAATGTGAGTGGCAACCAGAGAAAAGCCAATCCCACTCATTTTTATGCTCTCAGAAACAAAAACACAGTTGTTTCACCGTTGTTTACTCCACTTCAATAAAGGAGTGAGTTCTCCTCAGTGCACTCATGGTGAGTTGAGGATCCCTTCCAGCACAGACATGGGAACACAGGAAAAGAATTTAAAGGAAAAAAAAAGGAAAGTATTTAAAACTCTGCTAAAGTTCTATAAACCTTTTACTGGACCAGTCCAGCACCTGCAGCCAATGAGCTGGTCCGACACATTATCTTTACACACAACCAGATTCTGCTGATTCTATTTATGTTGTTACAATAAATAATACCTCTATAGTAAGCAGTTTCTTTTATATATAGATAGCAGAAGATTTGTGTGATTTCTGTGGAGTTTACCCTTCACCTAGAAAGCAAGAAAAAAATCACTGTGACACTATGTTCTTTAAAACATATGGTTCCAAATTTGGTTTAATGCTGTTATTGTCATGAAATCAAGTACTGTATACCCAGGCTAAATGTGATAAATGAAATGATAATGAGATGCACACTGGTGATTAGACCTTGTGACTTTAGGCTGCAGCATGATGTTTTGGAACCACTATTTTATGTGCCATATGAAGTTAAATTCAACACCTGTGTCAACATATTGTACTTTAGGTTTCTTAGGTAGCGAAGCAGTCATTGCGCGTCTGGTGGTTTTGCCTGTTGCTGTTGCTTTGTGCCATTTATTCAGTCATTTGTTGTTGAACTGCAGTGTGGAGCTCATTTACCTGACAAATGTCTTTATTCTGAATATATTCAAAAATCTTCATTCTTAACATTTCATTAAATCCCTGTCAGTCATTTAAAAAGCATCCAGTATCAAAGCCTAAACAGCTGCAGGCACAGAAAATTTCAAACCTAACATTGGAAACCTGCTTTTTTGACATAACATAATTACCACTATATGACCAAAAAGGTCAATGACTTTTACAGACTGCTGAGAATTAAAACATTTATGACAAAGAGGCTCAGCTTGTTGTTGTTTTCTACATAGTCGCATGAAGACAGTGTACCTCCACTTAAATGTCAAACAGCCCTACTGACAGACCTGCCAAACAGCACAATAGTTTACAGAGGAAGTGTCTGTAGATAAGAAAGAAAACATCTCTTCCCTGGTATCATAAAAGAAAATACTGTGATAATGCTGCTAATGTAAGAGACTACATCATGACATATCACCACATTACCGGTAGGTTTCAGTTCCAGTCTATCTGTTAAAGATACTTATGTACAGTATAGTCCATGTTGTCATGCAGACAGGATTACTGTAAATTTTCTGAAAACCACTGCATCTCTGTAACCCTCTGTTCCCTCACACACAAGTGCCCAAGGTGTGTGCTTCTCTCTCTCTCTTCTCATCCCTGTCCTCTCTGTCATGCAAGTAACATTGTCACTGTTACTCTCTTTCTAAAGTGAGAGGAATATAATCTGGTCATTTTTGCTTTGAACTTCTTACATGTGCTACTGTTACCTCCTAATATTTGTGGCCTACTAATTGAAGATGTGCTAATAGCTAAATGTCGAACATTTGAGATGGGAATATACTGACAAAAAATTGCTTTAAATCACATACCAATTCCTACATATCAATGATTTAAAGTATACATTCCACATAAAATGTGTTTACTGTATATCCATGTTTCACAGTTCAGTACTGACCTCTGACTCTGTCTCAGTTTTACTGCCCTCTGTCTGTAGTCTGGAGAACAATGCCTCTGGAGATACCTGACCCGCCATCCCATCTGAGGAGGAGGAGATTAAGAGCAGGGGAGAGAGACAGAGAGAGGAGAAGACAAAGAGAAGAAAGATAAAAAAAAACACATGCCAAAAGAGAAAAACTGATTCTGTTTATCTAGGAGACTTTGAGTGACTGATGACAACTGTGGTGGGTGGTGTATGCTGAGAAAGTGTTAGTTGTGACAGAGAACTAGATAAACTACTGTCAGTTTACATCACCTGTTTGAAAACACTCAGTTCATAACTGCACTAGTCTGCAACTACATAGTTAGGGAGGAACAGTTCCTCAAGTATAACTAAATTAAAGATCAATGTAACCAATAACCCCTCTTTGAACCGCCACCTTATTGTGGTGGAGGGGTTTGAGTACCCGAGTGATCCTAGGAGCTATGTTGTCGGGGGCTATATGGCCCTGGTAGGGTTTCCCAAGGCAAACAGATTCTAGGTGATGGGTCAGACTAAGAGCAGTTCAAAAACCCCTTATGGAAAAATTAAAATCAAGGACCATGACGTCGCCCAGTATGGCACAACCGGGGCCCCACCCTGGAGCCAGGCCCAGGGTTGGGGCTCGAATGCAAGCACCTGGTGGCAGGCCTAGCCCGAACAAGCGACGTGGGGATGTCCTCCTGTGGGCCCAACAACTGCAGGACAATTCATAAGGGGCTGGTGTACAGTGGATCGGGCAGCAGTTGAATGCAAGGGCCCCAACGACCCGATCTCTGGACACGGAGACTAGCCCTGGGGACATGGAATGTC